CCAGAGAAGCTGAAAAGGGCACACGGACCCCAATGCCTAGAGGCAAAGGGGCTGTTCACCTTTGCCCTTGGTTACTCTGCCATCTACCCGAAAGGTGCATGGACCTTTTTAATAAACCAAATACGAACCCATTATAAACCACTGTACTGAATTCTGAAGGGAGAGCGCTTCAGTAAATTAAAACCCAACGCCTAAATATATGGGACAAAAATATGGAAGGTGTCCTAAGAGTCCAGAAGTTCATCAGGCATCCACTTTCTGGCAGGAGAGAGAGGACAATTTGGGGGATGAGGTGGAGCTGGGCCAAAGAGAGATGGGGAGCCCTAGCTGGTTTGGCTCAGTGGATAGAGTGTCGGCCTGCGGACTGAAGGGTCCCGGGTTTGATTCCAGTCAGGGGCACGTGCCCTGTGTTGCGGGCTCGAAACCCAGTGAGTGGCATGCAGGAGGATCAATGATTCTTTCTCATCACTGACGTATCTCTCCTCTCTCTCTCTCTCCCTTCCTCTCTGAAATCAATTAAAAAAAAATTTTTTTTAAGAGAGAGAGAGGTGGGGAGGCAGTCCATGACTGGGGACTGGCCAGAGGGGAATGAAAGGTCTGCGAAGCCATGTGTGTTTTAGGCGTCAGGAATGAGACTGGTTGGGGTAGAATGGAGGGTTCCAGTTGGTGGACAATGTTTATTGTTGGGGTGACTGTAGAGCTGGAAAGGTATGTTGGAAGCACACCACAGGAGAGGAAGAACAAGAAAGGAGCCCTTTATATACTCATCACATTTAATCCTCAGCACAACTCCAGGAAGTAAGTACCTTTACAGAGGAGGCCAACTGTGAGGTCAAGAGATTTGCCCAGGGACACAGGGCCTGTCAGAGTTGGAGTTGCTGTTTTGCCAAACATTTCATCTCCACGGCCTGAACTCTCTCCACCACTCAACCCTGCTCTGAGCTCCAGGAGCTTGACGAGATCCTTTGGCAAGTGCGGTGCCGGGATCACCCGGGCCCTCCCACTGTCCTTCCCAACATCTAAGAAAGCCCATCACTGATAACAAGCAACTCCTAAGCCTGAATTACAGGCTGCAGAGCCTCGAGGAGTCTGCAGAACAGCCTCTCTCAGAATGTGACAATTTTACTTCCCCAAAGAAATAAGAGCCCGGAGGAAAGAATGGAGGGGTGGGGGGTGACGATGGGAAGGGGATGGGGAATGACCACAACTGACCAAGCAGTTGGGGCCCAGAATCCCAGGTTGCAAATGTTAAGCCCTCTCCCTCCTCCTCCTCCTCCACCATACTTATCACAACAGGGATCTCAAAGTCTGGAAAGTTACTCAGCCGTTTACAGCGTCATTACCCAAACTTCAGAATGTCCCAACCTAGTCCCTTATTCCAACCTTATTAACAGCGGGGTCTCCCTACAACTCTGGCTAATTACACAAACAAGGAGATGGAAAAATCTACTGTAATCTATTTAAAAATCATTGCCCCCTGAAGTCATGCCGGCCAGGGTGGATTGGGTCCCCCAATTTCACTGGAAGACAGCAGGCGCCGAAGCCTTGACTGAAATTGTTTACAGCACACGGACAGGTCCCACACCAGGGCACATTTGGTGGAACTGATTTAAGGCTCTCATTAAAATGTTCCTTTGTTGAGCCCAAGACATCCCCCCACCCCCAGAGGAGATTCCAGACCTCCAGTCCCCAGCCCTCGGCCTGCCCTAACTTCCCCCACAGAAGCCCCCCCACTAAACACCAGTCACCCGATTAACATCCGTTAACATCAGAGTCCTCTTCTCACGGAAGGAATTTAGCATTTGTTGCACAAGAGCCCCGTCTCCACCAGAATCTCCCCTAGACTCCAGAACTCGAAACATCCGCGGCGAAGGCAGCCATGTCAGGCGACCCACACGCCCAGACCCCAAACAGCTGGCTGACCTAGGAAGCCTGTGAGCTCGGGCTGCTCACCCATATGGCTGGGCCCCCCATCCTGGCTGCGCAAAAAAAAAACTTCCATACTTCCTCTGGGAGCAGATGTGGGTTCTGCCAGGAGCCATAACCACCCCACACATCACAAGGAACACAGGGCAGCTCCACAAACACCTCCCACAAATCCCTGGAGCCTGTTCTTACCCCTGGGTCCTGGGCTACAATCACCTCTCCTTTTACAACCAAGGGTGGCCGAGATGTTGATTCCATGGGCACCAAAACCCCTCAGCAGCCGGCAGCCAGGAAGATGTCAGAAAAGGCCATTCTCCACCCCCACCCTGCCTAAGGCCACTCTTCAAAGGAAGACAGTGATGAGCTCCCCAGGAAGGGTGGCTGCCACAATCATCCTCCAAGTTTCTTGCGGTTTATTGATGGGGGCCTATTGCCAGTCCAGGCTGTGCAGGTAGTTTGATGCTTTCCTGTGAAGCACTTCCATACCGCAGGGGTGACTCTCAGGTGTGACCCAGGCAGGGAATACAGGCGGGAAGGGGGTGAGGGGGGAAGGGGTGAGGGGGGAAGGGGGTGAAGGGGTGAAGAGGTGGGATCCGGTCCCGTCTGTTCCGGAGAGAGGGCCACGCCCTCGTGGAAACGCTGAGCGCTTGAAGAAAAGGCAGATTGGACTCTTTTTGCCTGCCTGGCCTGTAGAAAGCGGGGTTCGCTTCCTCGGGGAGGAGGCACAGGATGGGAATCCAGGAAGGAGCAGCGCGAAACCCGGTCCGCACCTTTGCAGGCTCGGCCATGCCCCGATTTTGGCAGCGGCCTTCACACATTCGTCACCGCGACAGCCCTGGGACTCCGCTCCCCAGATTCAGGCCCGGGTGGGGAGTGGGCTCGGGCCCAGGAGCTGGAGGAGACGGGGCGGGCCCTGATTCCTTCCTTTCTCTCGCCCTCGCCAGCAGGGCCCGCGGGGGTCCGGCTTGGCCCCGGAGCGGGGCGGAAGGGAGGGCAGAGCGCCGGGCCCGACGGAGTAACAAAACTGCCGCGCCGCCGCAGTCGGGTCCCCCAGTTGGGCCCGGGTCGGCTCTGCCTCAACTGGGTCTGAGCTCGCCAGGAGCACCC